ATATCATTTTTTTTTGTTATTGTTATTTGGCTGTTGTTATTGTTTGCTGTTGTTGTTATTATTTTGTTGTTGTTGTTGTCAGAGGATTGTATATTATATTAATATTAATATTGCGTATAGAAAAAAAAAACTGTTTTCTGTTGTTTTAGGCTTTTGCTAACATGACACAAAATGTCCGCCATGCRCTGTGTGCTGTCATGGTGTTTGCAGTGGTTGATAAAGCAGGATCTATTGTTATGGAGAATGGTGAAGAGGTAAGCAAAGAAACTTATCTAGTCGGTTTTCCTACATTTTGCATAGACCTTCAAAAGACAAAAAAAATCATGGAAACTTTATTTAAAGGGCTACTTGGACGAAAATTGCGAGACATTAGAAAAGACTTGGAAATCAAATAGACCTATCCATATGGGTGTAATAATCATGAAGCAACAGATTTCAAGAGAATATTGATGCAAATCCTTCATAATTTGGGCAAAAAATGTTGGAGTAGATGACGTCATCTACTCAATCCTTTTGTTCTTCCATCTTTTGAATCAAAATTTCTCTGATGTGGGATAATTCCAAGACAAATATTTTCCCGCAATTGTTTTTAATAGATATAAATGAGTCATATATTTSTATTGCTTGAAGTTTTGAAATAAGGCCATTTTCATGCAAGTAGCACTTCAACATAGGTGTAAAATTATAGAAATTGTTTGGTCTTCAATATCTTACAGCGGAAATCGTTGCATCGCGACCTCTTTGTTTTGAAGTTTGTCTGGATTTTGTTCTTTCTTTCAATCTGAGGGGCGGAGCTTTTTGAAAACTTGTTCAATCATTGGCTGATTAGTATCGAGCTCCGCCCCAAGTCGCAGAAAAACCTAAATCCCAACTATTTCAGTTTGAACATTGAAGTCGCGATGCAACGGTTTCTGCAGTAATGCCTCCATCTCTTCGTTCTTTCCTCCCTTTCTTTCTTCCATTTTTCCATCCTATTTCCTTTCTTCCTTCCTTCATTTCTTGGTTAGTTTGCTCATTCTTCGTATATTGTCCATCTTTACGTTAATTTGCTCATTTCTCTCCTCTTTTCCATTTAGCTGGATTCCTGGTCTGTGATTCTCAATGGATCAGTGGAGATACAAGTGGAAGGTGAGGAGACGGCTACAATTCTCCATCTTGGGGACAGTTTTGGTGTTGAGCCAACTCTGAAGAAAATGCAGCATAAAGGAGTGATGAAAACCTGTGTGGATGATTGTCAGGTAC